TTATAATCGTAATAATTACTATTAACGTTGTTATTATCAATTTGATTATCATAACTGTCATTGTTAATATCACTATAATCATTATAATTATTATTATTATGATTTTTTTTTTGACGCAACCTCCCGGACTATGAACTTTTTTTGCAATGCCAACACGCAACGTTAGGTTGAGTGGGCGTGCGCGCTTGAAAAAAATAAATTACTTATAAATATTATACATACATGGTACATAAAAGAGATATTCAACTCGTGTTAATTTCAATGTACGATTATAAACTGTAGGATGGGATTCATATCTAAGCTGTCAGGTATGTAACACAGAAAATTAAGAATAAAAAACAAAAATTCGGTAATATATGTTAAGCAGATTACGTATAACTTGTGTTTACTATTCATGGGGATGATTTTTTTGAAGAAAAAAATAAAAAATTAATAACATACATAAATAAAAATTAACCTCATGTGTATGATATATAGATATGACCTGAGGTGACGTAAAAAAAAAAGATAATATGAAATTACAGAGTGAACGCAAAAATTTACATGAGTATACAGTTAGAGAGAGAAACAAAATGGGCGGACTAGTAGGAAGTGCATTAGGCAACGTTACGAATTTTGTGGCATATAAGTACAGCATGTATTTGTAAATCGCAAACAGACATTGCCTTGAACTGTATTATGAATTTATATAAGAAAACACGAAAATAATTGTCCTCGTTTTGATAAAAGTAATAACAGAATTCTAACAGATAACAATCGAATTATGCATAAAACGTGAATTGTAATTTGAAACATAATTTTTGCAGTAAAATATAGCCACGCAAGGAATTTCCAATCATTTTTTTCAACTCTCGGGCGTGCATAAAATACATCGATTCGTAAATAAATTAATCCAAAAAGTTAAACTTTTGCATACAAGGCACGAATGTTACAACTTTCGTCAGGGTAGTTACATATGGTAATATTAATTAATACATACATCATGAATTATTACTTATTCAATTTTTTCTTTCGTTGCTTTTACAAGCATTAAAATAAAAATCATACTTTTTCAAGTTTTATGATTTTTCTTGACATCACTCGGAGATCTCATTCAAGCATCGTAATTTATTTTTTACCAGGAATATAAGATTTTAAACGTTTTCTCCGTTCAAAGTATGTTGCACTTACTGTAGAACAATCGTGCCTCAAAATGTAAGCGGATAAAAATTGAAAAACAAGTGAGATCTTCACCATACAACATTTTTCAAAAATCACACAATAATAGCGTCAAAAGGAGAACGAGAGCATAGGGAAGGGAAAATAGTAAAAATCCTGGGTATAACAGTTGTGTGGACGTCATTTGTATAATCACGGTATTAAATTATGCGAGAGAAGTTGAAAAAAGTAAACATAAATGTGAAAAAGTGCACGTTGGCGAAAAGTGAAAAAAAGTTAAATAAATATGAAAAAAAAATTATTAATCATACGAATATACTTCTAATTAAAGCTGCCATTGAAGCTGTATTGATATACATATTATAAATTGTAATAAATATTTAAATTAACAAATGAATAAATGAACGAGTAGGTAATTGAGTAAAAAAATAAACATTTATTAGCTGCAGTGAAAGAAGAAAATTTTTAGAATCGTATTCGTGGATTTTATTACCATTTAAACTAGTAATTGAGGGAGAACGGAGAGACAAATGTTGACAAAAGTTTGTTTCTTCTGCGCCATGTCTTGTAGAAATTTAAAAACGAAAAGTAAAATGTTACACGGGATTTGAATAGCCATTGCTCAAAGGAATTTCCGGTTTGTACTTGTTTTTTAGCGCTGGAAATAAAAACACCAATGTGTCTGTTCGTAATTTTTATAATTGATGAAGATAATCTCTTTTATTTAACGTGAAGAAATTTTAAGACAATTAAAATAATAATAATAATAATAGGTGTTAGAAGAGAGAAACAAGTTGAAAAAAATTAATAATTATACAACCAAAAAAATTACCTCACTTTTCGCACGTTTTGTAAGTTACAGTAGATAATCAGGTAAGCTATGTATTGCATTACAATAATGATAACAAAGATAAAGAAAAATGATAAAATCGGCAGTAATATAAAAATAAAATTTACATACACTTACGAGAACAAACCAGCGTGTTCATCATTTTTTCAGTAACTATAAAAAAAAA